TCACAAAGGGACTGAGCCCAAGGAAAAGACTCCTCAGAAATCATGTTAATAAAGCTCCAGCATTATATTGTATTTGTTTATAAATAACTGTGTTTAGGTATATATGTGCTTGTATATGTCCACATATGAAGTTTATGTATTGTGTATATTCACAGTCCACAGAATAGGCCGCACAGGTCGATCCGGCAAGACTGGAATCGCCACAACATTTATCAACAAAGGATGTGGTGAGTGTTTATTTCTGTATCCTGATGACTGGTCTCTCTTTCTGTGTCAGCTTCGGGTCATGTTTCACTTCCTCTGCTGACATTAAATCACACACACCCAACGATAAACACATTTGCATATATAAATATACCCAGTCTCTCTGTGTTTTAGATGAGTCTGTGCTGATGGATCTGAAGGCTCTGCTGGTTGAAGCTAAGCAGAAAGTTCCTCCGGTTCTGCAGGTTCTGCACACCGGAGACGAGACCATGCTGGATATTGGAGGTATGACTGATGCACGTATTGCTGAAAGTGTAAAGCACACACTCAAGAAGGCTCCAGCTTGTTGTAGTTGTGCGGCTCTAATAGTTTCTGAAACGTCAGCACTGATGGTGCGCAATAAATACACTCCTCTAGCACTTCATCTTATTTTAATCCCGCATTCACAGCTACGTACTTGTTAAGTGTCCCCTGTTTATAGCTGTATATTAATATACGTACACATATATTGCTCCACCACAACACCAAAACAGAGCGGCTGTGTTGCTGAAAATAACAGTGCGACCGCTTTAGGCTCAGTGCGGAATAAGAGCAGAATGGCTGCCAGAGTACAACATTAAAACAAACAAACAGACGGGTCATGACATTTTCATTATCTTTCAAATAATTGTCAAGTGTTTAAGAGAGAAATCTGATTAAACAAATGAAAGAGTAGATCTAATCACTGATTTATTTTCTCTTTGTCATGATGACAGCATATAATATCAGACTAGATATTCTTCAAGACACTAGTATACAGCTTAAAGTGACATGTAAAGGCTTCACTAGGGTAATTAGGGTAAAGTTAGGGTAATTAGGCAAGTCATTGTCTATCATTCTATCTGTTCATCCATCCATCCCTCCATTTCTCTATCCATCCATCCCTTTATCTCTATCTATTAATCTGAATCCACCCTTCCATCTTTCTATTTCTCCATCCATCATCCATCCATCCAAAACATATCCATCTCTCCATCCATACACCAATCAATTTATCCACCCACTCATCCATCCACCCATTCATCCATCCATCTCCATCTTTCATCCATCCACCCAAAACCCATCTATCTCTCCATTCATCCACGCATCAATTTATCCACCCACTTATCTATCTATACACCCATTCATCCATCCATCCATCCATCCATCTCCATCCTTCATCCATCCACCCAAAACCCATCTATCTCTCCATCCATTCACGCATCAATTTATCCACCCACTTATCTATCCATACACCCATTCATCTATCCATCCATCCATCCATCTCCATCCTTCATCCATCCACCCAAAACCCATCTATCTCTCCATCCATTCACGCATCAATTTATCCACCCACTTATCTATCCATACACCCATTCATCTATCCATCCATCCATCCATCTCCATCCTTCATCCATCCACCCAAAACCCATCTATCTCTCCATCCATTCACGCATCAATTTATCCACCCACTTATCTATCCATACACCCATTCATCTATCCATCCATCCATCCATCTCCATCCTTCATCCATCCACCCAAAACCCATCTATCTTTCCATCCATTTACCCATCAATTTATCCACCCACTCATCCATTCATCCATCCATCCATCTCCATCCTTCATCCATCCACCCAAAACCCATCTATCTCTCCATCAATCCACCCATCAATTTATCCACCCACTCATCCATCCATCCATCCATCTCTTTATTCATCTACCTATTTAATCATCCATCCAACCATCCATCTCTCTATCTTGCCATCCGTCATCCATTTACCCAAAACCCATTCACCCACCCACCCATTCATCCATCTCTATCTTTTCATCCCTCCTTCTCTCCCCATCCATCCATCCACCCACCCATCCATCTCTCTCTCTTCATCCATCCACCCAAAACCCATCCATCCATTCATACCTCCATCACTCGCTCTCCACCCATCCATTCCCTCATCTCTCTACCTGCCCAAAACCCATCCATTCCTCCATCATTCCCTTTCTTCATCCATCCATCCCTCCATCCACTTACCAACTCTCCTATCCATCATTCCATTCATCCATCCACCCACCAATTCATGTCTCTATCCATCCTTCCATCCATCCACCCAAAACCCATCCATCGTTGTATCCATTTATCATTACAGTCATTTATTATTACTTCAATCCACCCATTCATCCATCTCTATCTCTCCATCCATCCACCCAAAACCCATCTATCTCTCCATCCATCCACCCATCAATTTATCCACGCACTCATCCATCCATCCATTCATTTCTT